CTAAAAATATTTTTAGTAATGAAATCAAATGCCACGAAGAGAGTCTAGATCAAAACTGTATTCGAGACTACATCGACTCTTTTTTGATTGAAATGAAGGATCGTCAAAAGGAAAATAACGTTTCGTCTTTCACATGTAAGTAAAAATGTTCTGACTCAGAAGAGAAATTATCGTATCTTCTTTCACCTGTTATTGTAAATGCTTGGATTGGAATGAAAGTAACATACTTACATTTATAAGTAAAATGGCTTGTCTGAGAACAGAAATGGTTTATTTCTGTTACGTATAATATTAGTATCAAGAGAAAATAAGTTAACGCGATCTTAAAACATCCCTATAAGATAACATTTCTGTCCCAGGAATCATCATAATATACAAGTGTGGTATTCTCAGATACACTGATTTTCCTCTGAACGAGTAGAATCTGCAAAAACAGGATATCTGTAGTATCGTCGGCAGCCCTTCGGTAATTGACAATGACGTAGAGAAGGGGGGAGGGAGGAATCATCAATGCTTGGATTGTCAACTGTGCTTCCAGCGTTTGTGTGATCGGAGCCGAAAACTGCTAGCACATTTCTTTTCACAAATTTCGCATTGTACTGTGCGAGGAACTGTAGGCAAGGTGTGTCTCTGAGCACGATGATCCTGTGAGACCTTCACCCACTTTTGGTGTGCAACCTCCGAGCCGTCCTTGATGCATATGCACCATTTGGCGCGATCGTTGGCTATGGACTCCTAATTGGTATTAGGTGTATCATCTGTGATGAGGTGATGTTTTATTACATCTTTGTAACGCAGCTTTGGTCCATCTTTCCGCCACTTGCCAGAGGAAAATTCTCCATAAAGTAGAGTCTTTGGAAGTCTATATTTTGCCACATGAACCAATGACCAGCCCGGTACAGTTGTCTTTTAAGAAGTATGGCTTCTACACGAGGCATATCAGCGTGCTTCAAGACCTCCTCATTAGTGATTCGGTCCCCTCAAGATATATTCAAGATCACTCTGAGGTGTCTTAGTTGTACTCTGGACAATCACTTTATATGACAACGATAGAGTGTATATGTCTTCGCTGAATATAGTAGGGAGCTCAGTACCATGACTTGATATAATTTGCACTTGGTTTTTGGTCGTATGCCACGCTGTTTCCTCTCATATAATCGACCAACTGAGGCAGATGCCACTTGTAACCTGTGGTCAAGCTCTACATAAAGGCTGATGTCGTTAGCAACTGTACTGCCAAGGTAAATGAACTGGTTAACAACATTTAGCTTGTCGCCAGAGAGAACAATTGGCTCGAAATAGTGAGAGTTAGGTGATGGGTAATGGAGGATTTCGGTCATTGTGATGTTAATTCTTAGCCCGAAAGCAGCGGATGTTTCCTTTCACCACCAATGGCCACCCATCGCTGTAGGACGTCTTCCTCATTCCTAGCCTTCACTGGTGCTTAAAGTGTAGTAACAGTCGCGAGTTGTAGATTCACCCTCAGATTGAGCTTCCGAGGTCCAGTAGAATGCTAGGACATGACAGTTGACGGGAGAACAATCTAGGTTTTATTTCAGAGTGACCTTCTCCTATACCATTGACTGTACATAGCTAACGACACTGATCCTGCCAGTTGCAGTTCTCAAAACTAACTAGATTATGCCTTCTCTGCTGTGTACTTCACAGATAGCTCATTGTGTAGCTTTGTGCTTAACTACAAACAAAGAAACTCTCAGAAGGTTTTATAATTTTTTTTTATATTTAATCTTTTAGTCGAAATGTAGGCTTCTCTATATTACAGAAAAGGTAATCTACCATCCTGTTTCGCCAATAGTTTCACTAAATCCCTGGTTTGGGGGGCTCCAGGGTTTTTAGCACTTGCCCAGAGTGCTACCCCCAAGGTTACAGAAAGGGTAGGGGAACCTCAAAATCCTTCCACAGGTTAGTAGCAGCAGCTAGGTCCTGTGCTGTATCAATCCGTAATATAGTATATCATACAATAAAGGTCTGTCATTTCCTGACTGTAGAAAACAACATTCTTTATTTATCGAACACAAACCAAAGTTAAAACTAAAAACTAGCAAATGTTTAATGTTCTGTGAAAACCATGTCTCTCTGTACAGTTTAGGTTTGCAGTGAACCTTCAAACTAATAAGTGTAAACAAGTGAAAACAACAACTACAACTAAATAAGATATTTCAGCTAAAAGTTAAGTTTTACGATCTACAAATCAACAAATTTTAGAAGAAAACAAAAGTATGTGTATGGACAATTATCTCAATCCAAGAAATGATTGACAAACATCTATCCATATCTCAGTAAATCTCGTTCTTAAACAAAAGCTATCTTAAAAAAACACATAGAAATACCTACAACACACCCTGTCTCTAAGTACATTCACAAAATAAGTGACAATGGGATGCCAAGCCCTTAAAATTTCACCTTTTTTACCATGTGAAAGGATTACTGTCTCTGTCTATAAAGTTTCTCATGATACAGTAATCATTTCTAGTGGGGAATGCAAGTGATGTTTTTGGTGACTCATTCAGACCCGCGAAATACTGAAGCGGGGTAAACATAGTGGATTCCTTAACTAATATTCTATTTTTGAAACCAAAACAAAGTATGAAAAACAGTTTTATAAAATGCATTTACTAAGAGTAGAGAAAACCCAGGGTAGCTATGCTGTCATACCAGTATCCCATCCCTGAATCATTTCCAATAAGCCAATATCCTTTCTTTGCTAGTAATTTGTATACAAAGATGATTACGTCTTTTGACTTGTAATGGATCTGCCTTTAAATTTATTCTAAGATTCAGTTAGCATTTCTACTAGCAAGAGAGCAATTTCTCGATTACATGAGTGACTTATCTATTATTATGCCAAGATCCTTTACTCCAATCATGTTATTGGAGAGGTTCCTATCTGCATTGAACATGAGATCCAAATTATGATTACCCAAATGCATAACCTTGCACTTGCTAAAGTTAAAAGCCATTTACCAAATACAATATTCCAATTGCCAACTAATTGAAATCACTATAGCATGTCAACATCCTCAGTACAGTTGGAAATATGCATGTCATCACCAAACTATATTAATTAAATAGTTATAATTTAATAATTATCACTGATTGAAATAGGAAAAAAGCAAATACTTAAGCATTGATTCAAAGGGCACCCAACTAGTAACAAAGGTTGAAATTGACTGAACTCTATTACTAGAAACTATTTGATTTCTCCTATCCAATCACCCTTGCTGTTAGTTTTAATATTATTGGCCAGTTGTCTCTCAGAAGGGCCCCCAGTGGTACAGCGCTATGTCTGCGGACTTATAACGCTAGAAACCGGGTTTCGACACCCGTTGTGGGCAGAGCACAGATAGCTCATTGTGTAGCTTTGTGCTTAACTACAAACAAAGAAACTTACAGAAGGTTTTATAATTTTATTTTTATATTTAATATTTTAGTCTAAATGTAGGCTTACCGTATATACCTCATTCCCCTAATCTATAGTGTTTCAAAATGTCTGAACAAATGGAGCATATGATATTGATATGGAGAACTTGACACAAAGCCACTAAAATGTTCCTCTGGGACTAGTGTACTCATGGAATAAGGTCATTCAATACGTTTATCACATGTGCTTTTATTGTTAATGATTTCTGTAACTTAGTACATACTGTATAGAAATTCTTCAACTGAGCCATCTATAAGTTTATAGATTTATATCACTAAAGTACAGGGTACAGTTCCCTGCGGTAGACAGAGCATAGATAGACCCCTGAGTAGCAAGGTGCTAATAAAGCAAGAACAAAAATCAACAATAGTATAGAAAGTGACATTGATATTTTCCTATGGCAACTAAAACGATATACTTATGATATAGCATTCCTTGCTTCGAAGTGAGAGTGATTGTCAGTTACGTGGGTGGTACTTGTGCCTTGAGAAGAATGGTATCGTTGTTCTCCTTACACAATGTCATTCTTTCTCATTCTGAAACAAGATGATTGAAAATAAGACAATTGACAGAAAGTAGCTTTCAAATATAACACAATCCAGTAAAGATGCAAAAATACACTTGCCTTTATATGCTCTGATTGTGTTTTTGAGTGTTTGAATAAAGATTATTTTACTGTGAGATATATTGTGCCTAGTCTATTTCTTTGATCCACACTTGGTCAAAGTTAACATAATTCAGATTTTGATTTATGAAACGTTATCTGGTAAACCTCCAGTTAATATGCAGCTTCTACCTAACTATTCAAAAGTACTTCAGAAAACGCTAGAATACCACAAAAAAGAAAATTGGTGCCGTGACAACAGGATTTCCTTTTGTGGATAGTCTGTTTTTCTTTTCGAGTGTAATTGCCTGTCTTCTCTCTGTCTCTCCAGTTACAGCGTTGAAGCTTCAAATTCGAGAAAAAGGCATTTCTCACAATTTGAAGGACTCATAACCAAGAGAGATAGTTATTCTTTGAGGAATTATGGTTGTCAGAAAGAGTTATCGTCTCTAGGGTAAATTCTCGCAATTGGACATTAGACCTTTGAAAACCGTTTGAAGGTTCATAACTTTTTTTTTAACCTGGTAATGACCTATCAGGTTCCCTTATCAACTGAGAGAGGTTGAATGTGCCTGAACTATTTCACCAGCAGATAAGACATCAGATATGATCTGCTAAAGGTGATGATCTAGAGGACAGTGTTTAAGCTCTCTGTTGGTCTGGTAGGTATGCTAACGATTAATCCTAATCGATGATAATGTGTCCACGTGAGTGATGTAACTCAGCCTTGTGTGGAATAATTTAATTAATATAACTATGAACGATATATATATATATAAGATTTTAGTTCGATGCTTTTCGTTTAATAAAAGTCTACAATTCTATGAAATTAACATATTGCATCGTCATACTAACAGATGAAACTTATCACTGTGTTTGCAGACAGTATGTTAAATGGAAATGTTCAGGCTCTGTTTGGTGCTGGAAGCGGAACTGTGAGGATAACAATTGAATGGTGTCTTTTAACGATGGCCGCCTAAACTTAAAACTATGATTAATATTATGATATAAACATTAACAACCATGAAATGCTATATTAATAAAATAAAGACCCTTACTATCTCAGTAGATTTAACGGTGTTATAGTCTGCCATCTTTGCACCTCAAAAATAACTGCTTCAGTGTAAGGGAGATTTTTATGATCGGCCCAAGATGGCGATCGTTCTGAACCAATAACACTGTCAATCTCTTTTTGCACTAGCTTCTGAACGTCGGAACCGCTGGTTCATTCTTAGTCCTTAAGTTTGATGTTTGAACAGCGAAATGTACTACGTTGCAAATGGTTCATGTATTTTGTAGAAATTAGGGTTCAACTCTCCACCACCCCAAGATCTTGCTGAAATGGTGCCACTGATTAATTCGGTAACATAAATAATGAAATCATTTAATCTAATCATGAGGAAAAAAAAGGAAATTTTCGTCTTTGTAGCGTTTATATGTGTGTTTCTATTTATGCATGTGACCAAAATAATATGCAATGTAGCGCCATCTATTGAAAGGCACCACAAACGAAAATCTTTACAAAAGTTCACACTTTGGGTATTCAAGATTCAGACCGTTAGAAAAATATCTACGTTATGTGTAACAACCATTTCTTTATCACAGAACACAATTCTAAATAAAAGTACTCTCCTCACAACAAGAACATGAATTTCACTAAGACTGTACGTAAGGGTTTGATTATATCTTTATTGATGTAATTTGTAAATAGAGTACTAAAAAT